TTGATGGCAGGAACCTTGCTCAAAAAAGATGGTATACCGTAACCCAGTGAAATTACAAAATGTATACTGCCTGAAATGGTATCGTTTGGAAGAACAAACATGTACAGACCTGTACAACATCGAAGATGGTTTCAAAATTTACATGCATTAGCAACAGAATATTCATGAGTACAAAAACTTATGTATACAATGTGTACACTTTCTATGTTTTCTCAAAATGTAGCATCCACTTCAACACACTACATGTACATGTACAGTACATAGTTGAACAATGCACCCTTCTCAAGATTTTGAGCAATATTGTTGCTTCAAAAGAAACAAACAATTACAAAAAGCACACAATACCATCCCTGCATGCCCATGCGCAAAATGAAGGTCTTATGGGCACACAAAAAGCACAATTTGTTACATTTATTTGCGTATTCCTTGATGTACCATCTGGTTTACTGCAATGCATACAATATGAATTTTAACGGCGTAGTTCATCAAATGGTTGAAATTACAAGGAGCTTTGATAATAAATTTCACTATATGAAATAATAACTTCCAAGCTGAAGTTACATACATGTATGTGTACAAAGTCTCGCCATCTATAGTAGGCCTATACTGTACATTTGCTCTCATCACTGCCTGTAAAATTCATACAGACATGTGCAAATTATGCAAGTTTGCACAACTGTTCACATCTTGGCAACCTGAAGAAAATGTAAATATTTCGGGAGGCCAAATTGAAAATTCCACACGGATGAGCGGATGATCCCTTATCTCTGCAACCGGGAATAGGGCTCCCTGCGTCAACAGAGAAAATGTTCCGACAATTAAACATGGCCAGCACGGATGGCCGATAATGTGTTTGAAGTTCAAGCGATAAAAAATACTCCCAAAATCTGCAAAGTATAGCCCCAAGGAATGGCCATTACTGTAAGTGGGGGCATTCTATGGTACATAATCTACCGGTAGTGTTCATATTTATGTACCAGAAATGAGCACAGACACTGGACCAGCTCGTACATTGTAGGAGTTTCAGCTGATCTGCCGCTTTACTTAGGACAGCAAAGATGTTTGGATGAACAACAGTGTGCGGTACAATTAGAAGGGAGACTCTGTGTGCATGTAACTTCAAATTCCGCAAGGATGTTTGAATGATTTTGCAGGATTGAGAAAGGTTGAGTGTCCAGCCATCATGACTTTACGAGGGACTACCGGTAGATGCTCACTAACAATTTTTTACCATTTACTGTAGCCCCTGTACTGCCCCAAACTGCCCTGCCTGTGTTACTCCTCAATCCCCATACTGCCTCAAACTGCCCCAGCACTGGTTTTATTGCTTGAAGGAGAAGTAAATTTTATGTGGTATACTAAACCCTAACTCCAAAGGCATTTTTGTTAGGAACCTCAGTCCTGCCAAATCCTCCAACTGCCCCCTTAATATGTAAAGATAGCATGTATGGTACAGCCTCAATCCTGCGTGGTCCTTGGAAGGGTGACCACTGCCTCAATCCTACAAAATCCTCTGGCAATCACTGTCAATATATTGAGGCAGAGCCAGTGACACACTGGAGCAATGCGGAAGATTTCAAGTATAATATTGTAGGCCTAAATTTATGCATGGCTGGGAATAAACAAGGTCTGGCCTAAGACCTTGACACAATGCATCCTCTGATATCGGCTACACACTTTTTCCATTAGCCTCAATCCTGCAAAATCCTTCATTTTGCAACGTAGAGCATTTTGGAGGATTTGGAAAGGTTAGGGTTAAAGGGTTATCATTGTGCCATGCGATTCCTCAGGGATGCCAATGGGTTTTAACCCCAAGGCTGGAAAAATTTGACACATCGGATCGCAATCCACCATACCGATACATACATGGTACCGGTACTTGCAAAATGCAGTGAGTGGACTATCAAACATTGCACAACAATTTCTTCCTATTGGCTGAACGACGACATACCGTAAGTGATTGTTTTTGTTTTGTTTTTCTAGGTACGGAACACAAGGATTTATTTTTCTATCCTTTGAAGGAATGGAATGCCTGACTTTTTGTACAAAAAAAATTGATATACGGTAGCTGAAAAACTGGCATCCCTGGGTTCCGGCACAGCGGCAAATGTTGGATGATTCAGGAAGGTTTCTGGCTAAAAATGTGGGTATTTTGTAATAAGTACAATGTACATGTACCGGTACCTTCCCCTAAACTTGTTTGGTTGATGCACAAAAAGGACAAGTACTCCTCAGTCCTAGCATTTCAAAATGTCACCAGCATTTTAATAAAACCACCGTTTTATTAAAATGCCACTGCTGACAAGTAAAACTGGCAGCCTGAACACTGGAGCGGAACAGGGGCTGTTGATTTGACGGCAATTTATCACTGCAAGACAAATTTGCTCAAAATGTCTTGCCCTCTTCCCTTACCATCTATAGTGGCATGTTTAAGTGCCTGGGCCATTCACGTGAGTCACACTGCCTTGGTTGGGCTTCAAGGTTGAAATTGCAGTTATTGGTGATTCACTGGTATTATTAAGATGTGTGTAAAGACAGGTTGGAGTGATGGGGATCTCTCTAGAATGCAGAGGATGGCAATTTAATGGACAATGAATTTTGGGCTGGGAGAGCATCTGCCTAGATGCTTTAATGCAGTGATGAGACTGCTGTGCAGTGTTCGATAAGGTTTGTTTGTGTGAGTGTTTGGGACACTCTTGAAGGGTCCATGAAGTGCATTTTACACTGGAGCATGTAAACAATGTATTTGAAGCAAATATCCATTCCCCTGAAATGTACAAAAACTATCGGAGACATCCCTTTTGGTATTTTTTTTTTTTTTTGCGAAGTGCGCTTTCTTGAACATTTAAAACGTTTCCATTTAGTGGCAATGCTCTGACCATTTACAAAATGTATACTGGAGGGTGTAAAATGTACAGTGTGTATAGTATCTACATGTACATGTACATGTACATGTACCATACACAGTGTACGGTGTACAGGCCTACAGTACTTCTCAGTTTCTCCAGTGATGTTGAGTACATTCTTTGTGTGATACCCAGTACACCTACAATGTGCTTTGTTAGGATCCTCTTGAAATATCTGGAGTGAGAAAGTACCGGTATGCATTAACATGTGTACATGTCACATTCTCTTCAAGTACTGCATACCGGTACCTGTAGGCATAGGCCCATACATTACATACTACCAACCGGTATGTGCATCAATTGGTGTAAATGCTGGCCACGTATTAAAATGGCTGAACCTTGAGTAAAAAACAAAATTCAGAATTCAGAATTTTAAATTGGAAAGGGGGTTAAGAAACCACTCCCCATCTTTGGGTCTTAATTAGCCCGGATGAAATTCTGGAATTAACGATTCTCGACGGCAAGGTGGCACGCTGGCAGTGGCACAGACAGAGAGACCAAGTTGGGCACTGGATCACGAGCAGCACTCAGTGACTCAGCTTCGGCCCCCAAGGCTATAGAAGGCGAGAAGAGGCGTGGTCCAGTCTCTTATTAAGAGGCCAGTGTGGCGGGGAAAAAAAAACAAGATGAAAAAAATGAAATTATGAGAATGACACAGGTGCTGGATCACAATGCATTCAAGTGATCTGTTTACTTTTTGTGTTTAGTTTAATTATGTCCGTCATGCACATTTGTGAGGCATTCTGCAAAATGAGATGGAACTGGGTAGTGGGTACAGGCTGTATAGCAGAGAAAATTGGAGAGAAAAAACTTAACGGGGGGGGGGGCGCTATTTGTTTCATTCTTTTTCTTTTACATTTTTTAACATGTCGATATATTCTTACGCAAACTTTAAACAGCTATAACTTGTCAACAGAATATCTGATTGGAGTGCGACAAATAGTATTTTAAGGGAAATTTTATTATCTTTCCTAATACCCACAAATCTTCATTTCATCCTCTTGCCCAGTTTTGTTTCATTTTGCCAGAACGCATCACATTTGTATGAACTTGAGTGCAATGTCGTGTATGTGTGCATGTATGTTACACAATACCCATTTCCAAGATTTCCCCAGTATTTTCAAGATTGTGTGAGATTTTGCAGAATACAGAATATGTACTGTACATACTGTACATGTACCGGTATGTACTGTAGCAGAACCGCTACCCAAAAAAAACCCTTCAATCTGCAAGTCGTCCAGGTCTCTAGCTTTACCAATGTGTACCGGTACATGCCACTCACAGACCAATACAAAGCCCACAATGCATGACAGACCTGTACATTAAACACTTTAGCACTAGAAGTCTGCATTGTGGCTCAAAACTTCTTTTTCATGGAGGATCTTCGCTTCAGCGTCCTTCAATGGATCACAAGGGAGGATAAAGCCTAGCTGAGGCGGGAGTTTTTCTTTCTCCAGACAACAAATAGTGTCAACTGTCCCACTGTCCCCAAAATCAATCCTCTCTGATAATGGAAGAATTCAAGGCACAGTATCCTGCACACAGAGAACTTTCAATGAGAATTTGACGCATATACACAAGCATTAGTAAGGTGTCTAGATCTGAAAGGAAACCTTTTCGACAGGCACTGCATATGTGCAGTGCACAAATACATACACACTACCACTACCATACCGTACCGGTACATCACAATTGTTCACATGTGTCCTGTGATGATCACTGGAACTTACACAATTTATGAAATTACCCCGCAACATGTTGGATTTTATTTGAAAACACAAGAGTAGATTTAAAACTTCCTAACAAAGTGTCCAAATGGTAAACATTTCTAAAAGACCCTGAAAAAGCAGAACTTCCTTAATGTTCACTCATTTATCCTGAAATTGAAATGAATACATGAATCTTCAACAGCACTGTTTTCAGATCAATAATGTCCGTGTCTCTATTTTTTGGCCGAATACATCTGGTAACAGTACTGTGTGCACAGCTGTACTGGCCAGCAATTGCAGCAATTCTGCAAACTTGTACATGTTACATGTATATACCCGGTACATGATATGCTGTCAAACATTCAAACTCAAATGATGTACTTACAAATGTACTGTGTCCCCTGGAACGGTCGATGGATCAATGGGCACTGTCAGTCCCCGCCCACTGCAGACCACCTCCCTACGGCTCGACCGCCTACCTTCACGACTGCGCCCCTCTCGACCTCCCTTACGGCTCACCAGACTACAGGTGCAGCTGGAGGGGCAGGCGTCAGCCACCCCAAGTGACCCCAGGGCGGAGATCACAAGCAGGGCAAAGGTCAAAAGGCACAGGGCGTTGGCCGGGCGGAGGCCGTCACGGAACCAGCGGGATGCGGTAGTCATGGCGAGGGTTGAGGATGCTGCCACTGAAATGTATCCATGCAAGGAAGGAGGACCTGGATAGCTGGTGAACCCTAGCTCAATCCAAACTGTTCACACTGAGGAGTAAACCCAAGATCTTGTCACTCGGCCATAACGATGAACTCCAAGACGTCAGTATTTCCAAACACTGGAGGTGGTGACCTGATGGAATATCGCATGAGTCATGCTACTACTGCACTCTTTGTGTTGCACTGTAGACGTAGATCCACAATATGTCAGTGTGGGTAGATCAACTCAAAATGTTGTGATGAAAGCTCTTCAAGCATCATTGCCTACTGCCAAATTTAGCACAGTGCGTGTATGTACAATGTACGCATCCATCCATCAAGCTTCCATTCAATGAAGTGCTCTCACTGCCAAGTTCTTCAGTTCATCTGTTTAGGGCAAAAAAAATAATATATCCGGTAGACTTTTAAAAGTTTATAGTGACCAATTCAGTGATTCTAATGATTGATAATAAACAGTTCTTCCACTGTATAAAATGTAATGTACAGGTATAGTGCAAATACCTGGTCTCTTGAACTTAGGCCAGAATACCAGTACTTAATTTGATTCACATAAATAAATTGTAGGCCCCCTAATGTTTATAATTTATAGCCTTTTCCATCGTATCAACAATCTCAAAGTGCTTTACAATTAGGCCTATTCCCCCGCTCATCAGGCTACGAGACCACGCGGCAGCCGATATCAGCACACATTCGGTCCTCTACCCTCACATGGGTGGAGAGGCAATTCGGGCGATTCACAATGCAGTGCGCCACCAAGAGTTTGCCATGGAGAGTTCATTTTCAAAGTTTTTGGTCGACAAAACACGGCCCATTTGAATGAGTGTCAATAGACAACTTGAGCTAATTCGTTATAGATTGGGGAATACGTTCTGACCGTACAAAAAACCACCACATTGATAACAAGAAAAGAAAGGGCAAACAGATCCTCGGACCATAGGCTAACGAAACTACTGACCGGAAAAACGAACAATTTCAAATGTCCCGCGCTGCGAATTTGTCGACCATCTCCCACAATGCACTTGGAAAATTGCACTCTCCGTGGCAAACTCTTGGTGGCGCACTGCATTGTGAATTACCCGAATTGTGTCCTGCCCAAGGGCACAAACACTACATGTATGTTCCTGGCAGGGTTGGAACCCACGCATCATCGTACATGAGTGAAACACTGTAGCCACTGGACCAAGGCATTCTATTAAGGGGTGATATTTATTGAGTAGTTTCAATGTTTTGTACTGCTTTCAAGGCTGCAAACTTGGATGTTCGCCCCCCCCCCCATTTTTAAGCGACAAAAATAACTATCAGTCTTTCCCAGTGCAGAATGATTTAAAACCTCCAAGAATGCCCCAACAATAAAAAGGGGTCAAGGTCAGAAGGAAAGCTTTATTGGATGCTCGTCAGATTCAATCAATAGTCCTGTCTTGCTTCAGATACTGATGCAAGGTTGATACACTTTGCCCAACATATTCCCAGGCATTCTCAAACTGGAGATGACTTCTGAGGTTTGACTCGTTACTGGGGTGCATTTAACAACATATTGTGATCTCATCTTTAAATTTCTCTTGGGAAAAAAACGATAATTTTAGCACAACCACAACAATGACAGCAAGATATGTGGGTGAAAGATTATGAGAAATCTTTGAAAAACATAACTCCTTTCAGCTTTTCTGAAATAGTCTCTAGTGCATCCATTTTTTAATCCCGGAAAGAAACGTGACAGTGATGTGATTTGAGTGTCATATTAAATCCTCTCAACAAAAAAGGACATTGCCCGAAATGACAATTCACCTAAATTAAAGATGATCTGTCTGTGCCATTTTGAGGTTTACCCCCAAAAACATGTTTTTTTTAATGTGTGTGTATAGCTCTACACAAGTTATTCACTTTTTAATGAGAAATGGAACCACAAAAATGGCAGACATTTTGTTATGGAATAAATTACTTACATGTACAAGAATTTCAAATTCTTCGCGGCCCAAATACATGTAATTAAGTTCTGGCATGGTAGACTGGTTCCCACTCCTACCACCATCAATAATGTAGGGACCAAGAAATAGAATGGCCGGATAATTTTCATAGGTCACTTCAATTTATGGATACAGGTTAATTTTGCAAGGAATCCTACAACAACCATTTTCAAGATTCAAAGCTCTTATTCTTTCAGAGGTTCCCATCTTTAAAGGTACAACATTTGCAAAAATCAAAACTACCAAATTATTATGAAATACCTTACTTGACTGTAAGTGAATAATACATGTAGTCTGTCTCAAACATCCTGTAAAATCATGGCACCTGATGTGCTGTCATTTTCAAGAAAAGTGGAATTTTTGTATCAGTTTCCAACAATGGTCGGCGGAGTGATGGCGGACCATCGTTGGATTTACCAAATCTTTTTGCAATCGGTTACACATCCATGAACGGGTGCAAGCCAGCTAGTCTTGCTCCCTGACCAGATAATTTCCCGCCGTCTACAAATTGATCTGTTTCGTCTGAAGGTGGGTCAGGGAAGCAGACTACGAGAACAGCATTTTTTTCTTGGTTTTTCCAGCATCTATGAACACAAAACTTTAAACAGGTCAGTGTCTACATAACGATAATTGCTATAAAATACTAACCCCAAATCCGTCCATTTCTGAAAATGACAGCAAAAGCAAAAGTTGTACATATTACAGGCACCTTTAAGAGTATGGCCTGAAAAAAATTAAGCTGTCAATGTTCGGTTAATTTCTAAACAGAAACCAGTAGCCTATACAATTTCTATTACAAGCTTGAGACTTTTTGACAAGCTTGAAACAACAGCACCAACATTGGTGTTGACAGATAAAATACAGCATTCCCAGTAAAATTTAAAGGGTTTCAGGTGTTGTTTTATTATGATGATGGCTAAATTAAATGATACCAAGTGCGTATTGTCTTTAGTTTTGTTACTGCAATGAGTGTATGATTTGATATTATCACTGATTAAAACAATAAAACCATTTGGCAAGATACATGTACAATGTAGGGCCTATAGTTCACTTACAAACTATAGGCCTACATACTGTACAATGTATCTGCACAATGCAACTCACTAACGTTTTGGTTGTAGTGGTAGCCATGACATGCCAGTAAAAGGTATACTATGGACACCTAATGTGATGAGAGGCAACATCCTCTCATCTTCTGGTATTCCACTGGTTGCTATATTCCTTACTTCGCACACAAAAATCTGGTTTTCATTTTAAATAGCTTTTCAAATAACATAGAGCCTGATTTCCTGAATTTTGTATTCAGGTTTGTCTGTTTTTTTTCCCAATTTTTTTGTTAATGGGGTTCCAGACAGGTGGTAATAAAAAAGGGTGTTTTTTTCTTGGGTAGGGAGCCAAGAATATAAAGGTCAGTCGGAAATGAGAACCAAAATAATAAAAAGAGTAATGGACCCTCAAAGCTTATTTCACAGGCTCCAAAAATATGTACAAAGTCCTACGTAATGAGGGTTTATGAATGGAATGAACGTTAAATCATACAACCCTGAAATCTGAATGTAGCAAACGGAGCAGCTCTCAGTAAGGTCTGCAGGTATATTCATGGGTGATGCATCATTCTTTCGACAAGTAAATACAGAATAAAAGAATTAATTTAAAATTGACAGGAATAATGGAGCAGGCCTAAAGGGCTATGGTTGCAATTTTCCTGTTGGAAAAAGAAAAGACCATAAAGACAAATAAGAAACACAGACACAGAGGTGATTAAGACTCCATCTGTATGCATGAGATCTTGTACACAATTTAATTGATTGCCCGCAGGTGTAGGGTACTAGTATAATACGCCACGGCCAGCGGGGAACTACGACATGCACAAACCTGTTCATCTACATCAACATTTTAAGACACACAAATGATACTATGTGGACTTTGATTTCATCAAATGCCTTCACAATCTTTAAAATGAAATTGGCATAATTAGAAATTGAATCAATGTTCTTCAAGTTCATGGCTAAGATACAGCGCGCGAGGTACGTCAACATGGTCAAGTCTTCCTCCATGGTCAAACAAGTTATGGGGTACAGGGTGCATCACTCTTCTTCAGTCATAATGCAATGAAGACGACGTCCAACCAGGGCTAGGGGGAAGTCTAGTCCGAGTAACTAGGACTCTACGGATCGCTTTTTTAACATTTGGACATGGTCGCCCGACCATGTCCAAATGTTCAAAAAGCGATCCGTAGAGTCCTAGTTACTCGGCCGACCATGTCCAAATGTTAAAAAAGCGATCCATAGAGTCCTAGTTACTCGGACTAGGGGAAGTCCAGTATTTGAGCCACATTTACCATGTATATGGGGCTAGTGGCGCTGCATACGCAGCGACCGGCGCAAGACTATTGCACTCCATGCTAGAACGTACACACTGTCATGACTGTTGACATGAATCAAAATCATTGAATGCATACAATGACTGAGCTAGGTGAGCACTGAGCATATCGCATGCATGGTGAGTGAACAGAGCCCCAGATTGCAATCAAAAACGAGAACACCTCAACTTGCATTTGGATCTGAAACAAACAGTGTTCTTTTACTCACACTAATCCAATGATGCTTACCATACGACAGTAGGTACTCCAATCACAGAGCAAGGAACAGAATCATCCCAAACACAGTGTGAAAGAAATCTTTATTTTCCAAAATACGACCGTCATTCCACATACATTCCACCACGGAGTATCCTAACGAACACTGTTGTTGTGTGCATGGGCCGTGCGCGCATTGTGTTGTTTACGTACAAGTGTATGCATAAGATACCAGACCGCATGCGCTATGCGTGTGTAGTGTACATGTGGTCAATGAACTGACGTCACGGTGCAGAAAAGCATAGAGAACTTTGATTGGATGCACCATGGAGGAATAAGAACACATTTCTTATTCCTCTCTAAATGCACTAAACATCCGGCGTAAGTAAAGAAAATAGCTAAATATTCCAGGGACTCATAACATACCATCAATTATAAAGGCGAGCCTTTTATCTGACCATGAAACAACTTATTTTGGAGAATATTGTAAAATTTGCTACTTTAATTTTGGAGGATATTGTAGAATTTGCTCAGAATTTAATAATTTTTCCTTAATATTTTTTTTAGATTTTGGGGATTTGCTCAAAATTTCCTTTTTTTTTCGTTTTCCTTAGGAATCCCTCCGAAAGTAAACATTTCCTTAAAATGTGGACATTCCATTGCACTGTGCTGGACGTCGACTACAACGCCCTCTATCGGTTGGGAGAGGTTATGCTTTTTAGATTGAAAAAAAGGCGACGTTCGTCGCGATGGATTTCATACTTTTTTAGTCGAAAAGCTAGCCTATTTGGATTTTATTTCGTTAATGCAAGTGGTCCCTGACAAACAGTGATAATAAAGCTGCCGCTATGTTTCAAGCTAATGCACGCGCATGAGGTACGCTCGGATTTTTTTGGACAGCGCTACCGACGTTCCTAAGACTAGATTTGATTCATGTTGTTGGTACTTGATAGCGACCTATTGACCACCGAAAGGTTTAACTGCAAATGCAGAATGCAGAATGAAATCGTAGTCCCTAGTATACTAGTATATGCCACCCATCTTGTTGGATTAATTGTCTGACATATTTTCCTTTGTCTTTTTATATACATTCGTCCATAATTATATTTTTTTTCTCTAAACGGGAGGCTGGCAGCTCCACAACCAATTTAATGTGATCAGGTAAATAACTACGATAAAAGAGAGACAGTTACAAGATTGAATAATTTAGCAGTAGTGGTGATGGTAGTTGATGATGTGAACGGTCTCCCCCCCCCCCTAAATCAATAGTGGTGACTGAGAAGGGTGCATTTGTACACTTTTAGTTAATATAGTGTTAGAAAAGTAGAGAATACAGCCGGCCGTCACAACGACCTTTATCATGCTGCCACCATTTCAGTCATGTTCCCTGTGTCCAATAATAGACAGAATTATAATGTTTTTGTGCAAAAAGGAACCAGACTATTTTTCCTTCCAGCCTCGCTTTGATTTGAATGGGGAAAAAATTCAAATGGCTGCAACATGATAATGGTCTATCGGGCATGGACCGCATGATGGAGGCATACCGTCGTATGGAGTTCAACTTGAACTGTTTTGCATGGGGCCTTTCGAAACCTAGGCTCGATCACTGACTGCGGAATCGGGACTTTAATAATGTAGTCCTTGACTTGGGAATTTGGGAAACCCCGGCTTTGTGCGTCCTCATTCTGCTTTAGCATAATCAAATACTACAATAATGAGGGAGGGGGGAAGTCGGTGCATTCCTATTTTGTTTCAACATTAAAGACCTCTTTAGATTCTGAAGCCAGAGACCGATGAAACCGCAGCTGGATCGAAGTCGACGTTTTGAAAACACCACGTAAACAACTTCAGTCCCACCTGCCAATCAAAACTTTTTATTGTTTCACTTCCGACCAATAAGATTCACTCCCAGCGCGAGCGCGTGATCAACACTCAGTGATCTTATTTCGATATCTATCCTCGTTTAAAGAAAATAGGCCGGACTGTTATATCAAAAATACAAATATTGTTGTCGAAGGACCAACATTTCTGACTTATTTTGCGAATACAGTGCAAAATGTTTACGATAAATTGAAAGAATGTTAAAATATTTCATTTCGTCGGATTTGGTTGGAAAGTCCAGCCGCGTATGAATACATTCTATAAGACTGGACATTTTCGTGTAAAATGAATACCTAGCCTTATCACTTACTTTCGGCTGCTTTCTGCGATTAAGCGCGAGAAAGTTTTGCAGTACTTGTGCTCAAAATTTGGAACGAATGGGCTGCACTCGTCTTTTGTCCACAAAAATTACATTTTTCCAGCGGTGTACAAAGTTACTCTTCTCACCAACTCAAAGGAAATAATGTGTGCAAGACTTCAGCGTTAAGTCGTGGACTTCTGTGGAGCATTTCGTTGGGAAAGGCGAGCTTCAAAATGTGTCTATTCCTTCCTCCGTGATCTACGGGAGAGTCGGCTGTGCAGACGGTTCACCATGTACGCTATACCCGTGGCCGGCCGGGTTGGTTTCCACCCCGTCGTTGTCGCTGTCCTTTTGAATTATCTCCTCTCCAAGGTCTGTTTTCTTTTCTCGGACTTCTTACCCTGCATTTGTCGTGAGTTAAACTTTATGTGGAACAGAAACCTTAACTGAAATTTCACGGTGAACGTTTTGGAAAATGAACCACGGCCGGGGTTCCACCCGGTCGCTGCTCTTTTGAAATTCGCAGCTGTACTCCGAATTTCACTATTCAGTGCTCGGACGTCTGATGTCCATGCATTGTCGTGATTGAAAACTATGGAATAAACCTTAAACTTAACTTTCAACGAACATTGCGAAAGACGAACCAGACTGTCATTAAATGTGAATTTGCATCTATTTTACCTGGGATAAAACTAAATCTAGCCCCGAGCAGTAGTAGGCCTACTCTGTTTAAAAGAGCAACAAACACTTGAAGAACTTTCAAGAAATTGAGAAAATACAGGAGTTGCACTATGAACTAAAACTGGGAATGATCTCAAACACCAGTATCATGGATTTCCTGTTAACTGCCAGTGTGGATTTTTTTCTGTGGAATTTATCGTATGGACAAGTTCGGAATTCGAAATTTGGTAAGTCAAAAGCAATTTATGAGGTAAGTGGAAACTTTTTAAAATTGCAGAAAATTAATGTGTATAGGCCTAGCATACTTGCTCTTGCTAATCATAAGAAAAAGACTTCCTCATTAAGAGATTTTGTGTCCATATTTTTCGTAAATATTTTTCGTAAACTTTACATTTCGTAAATTGCAAAAATAACGGGTACATTTGAAAAATGTACTCCGAGTCTGCCCCTCCCTTTTCAAGTTAAAATTAACTGGGTCTTGGCTCCATAAACTTATTTCTGTAATCACTTGTAATGTGTTTGTTGACAGGACAGATTGTATCCTTGTCATAATTGCTCCTTGTGTAAACTTGCCGCTTTATTTACAAGAAGATATGTCCAGATTTCGAGTACATGGAGTATGTTACTCATCCTGTAACTTATACTAATTTTGTAAAAATAATGGATTTGGTTGAAAATGTATTCCGTGCCTCTCCTTATTATACAAATTCTGGTTCGGAGCTTCAAAATTATATTTTCTGTGGCCAAGTTAATGTTTCAGTGGACATGACTCACTGTATAATTACCCCAAGTTGGCCCCTCTTTTGCATTCCAAAATTAATTGCCTCCGAGCTTCAAGTACATGTACCAATATTCTGTAGCCAAGTCAACTGTTTTTGTCTACTCGAGAAAAAGTATTGATTTTCTCCCTGTGGTATTGTCTGAAGTCAACTAGAGCGTAGAGGGTTTAATGAAAGAGTTTAACACCTGTGAATTCCTTATAAGGCGTGTCTCTGGCCCCTGCGGCCGTAGTAAACAAGTTGTTTGACCTTTTCACCCTAAGTCGGCACGTGGCTGCGTAGGGGCTGTCTAGACCTATTGTTCTGTCCGGTGAAGTTATGCGAGAGGCACGCGCCTGTTGTCAGTAAAGCATTCTTCTTCTTGTATAGGCATGATTATTCTTTAATATTTTCAGCTATTCTCCACGCGTGTAATCAATTAAATTGTGAAAGGCAGACTTCAGGTTTAATGTTCTTATAGAAACTGGAGATGGTGAACAAAAATCAAGACAAAAACACCGTACCTCTTGGACCCAGTCAAAATGATATAAATGAAATGACATGGTCAACCGAGAACTCCTGCACTTTATTTCATCTTCGTCACAAGAAAAATCAGGTTTATATAAGATATTTCTTAAATAAGACCAGTTTCTCCTTCAAGGCAATAATATCTCTTCCTGATGAAGCATGAAGTATACCCAGTTGCAGGAAATGTTTATTTAGGAAAACGTTATTCCTTTTGAACAGATAATTCGTCGCAACAATCTCTGACCACTAATGGAAAACACCAAATAAAGAGACAGTGGTCTAAAGTGTTTAATATCCTTCAGAAAAACAGCTTCTCTTCTTCAAGCAAAGATAAGTTTCGGCGTTTCAAGAAAATTACAGAAGCAGCCAAGGAATGTGAAGTTAGAATTTCCACTTAAATCTTCCTAGTCAAGTGTCCTGCATGATGTCTTCTTCGTTTTGAATGTAAACTGTTAAACACCACTATAAGTGCCCAGGCTGCCTTCAAGAAAATTTGTCAAAGGTGACACTGTGTGCCTTGTCAACTCACAGTTGTTCTGTTGAGGCTTTTTGGGGTCATCGAGGGGACGGGTCATAATGTACACATTATCTGAATTTTTTTGTAGAGAAATAAACAAATAAACGAATATAGGTTTTATAAATAATAACTTTTAACAGACAACAGTTAATCAAATGCACCAGTTTAAATATGATTAAAAATGAATGTTACATTTGTACTTAGTAGATCAAGCATATGGTGGGGCCGGGGTGGAGTGTGGGGAATTAACTGCAGCACGGCGGAACGCAAAGCGTTTTAGCAAAAAGCTTGAGCAGGCGCTTGTATAAGTGAGTTTGTGAAGTTAGTTTGTGTGTAGCTGAGTATTGAAGTTGAGTATTAGGTCTCTTGTGTGAGTGAGTTCTGAATGCGGAAATACACGTGAATGAATGAGTGAGTGACAAATGGTCATTGTTGAGAGTGTATCGATGACTTGCCCGTTTCCGATAAAGTTTTGGGAAACGAGTATTCGGTCTCGTAGTCGGAAACTCGTATTTGGACGCGCACGTCACTGAGTAGGTCTACTCAGTCTCCGGTCTCGGTAAACCGTAGCG